GCATCTCTTGGCACCTTCACCTGCACCCTGGAACAACAATGATGCAGAACGTGCATCACGTTCTTATTCCCATGCGCGGACCCTCTTCTGTAAAGTTTTCTGTTCAACATTTTCTGCCCAGCTTTTAAAAACTGGCCGTCGTCTTCTTCACTTGTAAGAATTCTTCACAAATCCTGGATACGAATCTTCCGTCAGGCCATGTACGCACTGCAAATACTTTCTCCCTCCTAGAAGAGGGTCTGCCTCTTCTTTGTCTTAATTGTTCTTTCCAACAGCAAAGGTATTTTTTCATTTTGGGGAACTCTAAGTTACCAATTTTCTGCATTTTTGGTTCATGCTTTTGTATCCTAACCTTCCAGAAGTGTTGGTTTTCACCCCAGGTAGGTGCACGCCCCACTGGTTCAATGCTGGAACGGTAAGACACGAGAATCTGCACCTGACCATACAGACATCCCACCGCATCAGCACCGTTTGCGGAAGACTGACTCTCCTGCTGAATTATCTCGTCATCTTCACGGAAACCAACAAACTCTATATTCTTGAATTATTCCTGAACTTTCTAGTCTTTTCCATTGACAAATACATCTATCCTTACGCCATTACCCCACTGCCCCGACCAATACGGTTTATCGCATGTCTTGAAATCAACCTCTATAAGCCCTTTTTTTTTTTTTTTTTCAAAAACAAGTCTACAAAATTTCAGAATCGGTCTGTTGGTTTCGACCAAAAGAGCCTGCTGGGACTTTGGCTGGGATTGCACTGGATGTATGGACCAATTTTAGCAAACTGGCATCTCTACAACATGAACTCCTCCAATCCGCGAGCACGGTGTCTCTCTCAGGAAGAACTTACACTTGACAACACACAGATTGTCGTCGAGTTTATCCCCGAGTATTTCACGATTCTGAGGCTACGGTCGGGGGCGTGTACTTCCAGTTGCCGGCCGCCAGTATGCAGAAATTCAGTCCGCCTTCGTGTGTTGTCTTTGTAACCGGGAGCCTGTCCGACTTCCCGGTTCCAAGTGGCTCTTTACAGAGTCCTTGGGACTTCCCATGTGCATGATCGTCTCGTCTCAAACCAGAGGCACCTTTACTCCCTTCCCACTGCACACCTTCCTTCCCCTCTGCCACGGCCACCGCCGAGGAGTGGGGAGAGGGCATGCAGGCTGCAGGGGCCCCTCCACCCCTACTTTGCTCGGAGGTTTTCATCGTGCAAGCATGCTGTGCTCTCACCAATGCTTCTGCGTCTATGGAGATACTCACGTGTGTTCCCTTCTATTAAAACAATCACACGAACCAGTGCTCTGAGGGGAGGCACCCTTATGTTGCTGCAGGTGCTCCCTTCTGCTCCATCTGCGCCCCCCCCCCCCGCCCCTGTTAGTCCTTCTCCGGTGCCCCACACAGTCATATCCAGGCTGACACGGACGCAGACAGTCAGCACCTTCAAATCCCTCCCTGCCAGGCCGCACTCCCAGGGCAAAGCTGTCCATACCCGGGCACCCTCTGCGTGCTGCTGCTGAACTCCTCACTCGGCTTTCAAAGCCCTGGGATGAGGACACCCAAGAACCACACCCATGCACCCTCCTCCACACTGCAGCCTCCCCGGGGTGCACAGCACCCCACCCAGCCTAGTGCAGCATCCCTCCCACCCAGGACATTCCAAGTACCAAGGCCCACCTGCCTCCAAGCCAGGTGACCTGCGTGCTGAAGACAGGTGTCCAGCAACATCCAGGTAGACAAGCCTGCCTGGCAGGGGAGGAAACAGCCAAGGGCCTTCGCTACTAGTTTACACTGCCTGACCTGCCCCGGCCAACTCCACCCAACTCTCCTGACACCCCTGGGCTCCTCAGGGCCTGAGAAATCCCAAACTGAGAGAAGGGTGACAACAGTCATGCCATGTGAACTTCAGGGAGTTCTGGTCTCTCCATGTGTCAGACCTGCCCTCTGTTCCCAACCTCTGCAAGGCCACAGGGCCCTCCGAGAATCTGCAAAAAGCCACAGCCCTGTGCACAGAGGACAGCCCGTGCGGAGAATAACTGGTCTGAAACACCAGAAACTCAGAGACTACAAGTATTTAAGGATCATAAAGAGGCTGGTCAGGAACAGGGTAGGTGTGGGACAGCCAACAGGGGCCAGCCAGCCGCCCCCAGGTGCAGAGGACTGTAAGGCCACAGACCCCTCACACCCCTGCTCCTCTGGGCCACGGCCATAGCACACGAGTCCCACACAGAGCGGCAGAGGACCAGGAAGAGCCTCAGGCTGCAGGAGTGGGGCCAGAAACCCACGGGACCCCACTGCTCTAGAGGTGCAGGGATCAGGATCACGGGGGAAGGGGTGCCACCTAGTGGCGGCAGCCCTCAAAGCCCAGGAGACGTCTGATGCAGGCCAGGGCTGGCAGTCACGACACATGCCAAGTGACATGCCTTCAGTCCCAAAGTGACAGCAACACTTTCGCCTAAAGGCCAAGAGACTCAAGCTCGCCGGGTCAAAAGGCCCTCCCTGCCCCTCCAGCTCCTACTTCGAGGGCATCTGCTGGACTCCAAGCCACGGCCATCTCCCAGAGCTGGCTGATAATGCTTCGGGGGGGCGGGCCCCCAAACTAGGACACACCCACACACGAACACGTTTCCACGGGGAGAGAGCAATGTTCCAGAAAGTCCTTCCACGAACAGATGTGGAAGATGAGGCACAAGCTACCCGCCCAACACACGAGGGCCAAGCTGGGGCCAGACACACATCTAGCCATCGGTCAGTAGGGTGTGAGCCAGTGCTCTTGTCCCCTGCCACACCGAACATGGCCAGGGTGACAGAGGGCACCCATCCCGGACCCGCTGCAGGCAGATCCAGCCACCCAGACAGCAGCCTCAGAGCTCCTGACCAGTGCTCACCCTTCCCTCCCATGCCCCTCCTGCAGGGACCCCAGCTTTTCCCTGTGCCCTATTTCCCTCTGCACGTTTCCCACCCCATATTCAATTTCACCAGATGTGGGCTCCTGCAAGTCACCCTCCCTGCTCAGAAACCTCTAACTGCCCAAAACCTACCAAAAAAGAGGAGAGCCAGACTCCCCCTCACAGCACTCCAGGCCATGCAAGATGCAAGTCCGGCGCCCGGCGGGCTGACCCCACTGGGCCTGGGGAGTCTGCACTTGTACTCAACTCTCCACACGGCTCTGACCACAGGCAACACACAGGTCTCTGACCCACCAACGTTACACGACACACGTGCTCACTTCGGCGGAGCACAGTGGCCGGAGGCGAAGCCTGCCAAGCACCCTACTGGAGACAGGACGGGTAGGGGAGCTAGGGTTTCCACAGTGCCCTGGGAGGGACCAGGGACAGGCTGACAAAGCACATGAAAGAAAACCTGCCCCCCTACAGGAGCCCCTCACCAAGGGGTGCCAGCAGACCGGGACCACAGGGACGCTCCACCTGCTTCTCCAGAAGCCTCCGGCTGCTCAGAAGGGACACGAGCACCGTCCCGCCGCGTGGGAGTGTGCTCATCTTCACACACACAGCGAGGCCCGCACTGCGCTCCCTGCACGGACTTGAAGGGGGCACGTTCACCAGGGGCCGGCAGGGACACCAGCTCTGCTCTACACAGCCCCCTCTCCCACCCCCAACCCCCCACGTCTGACAGCCCTCCAACCACCTCCTTCCTCTCCCTCACCCGGGCCTGGCCACCTGTTGAACACACGACACACACACGCACGAGCAGGTGACCAGGCGGTCAGCTCCCTGCACACCAGCCACGCTCAGGGAAGGCCCTCTGGTGGGAAGTGAGACCAAAGGGCTGGAGGAGTAGCTGCATTTCCATCCGGGCCAGAGACGGCGGCCAGCCGTGCCCCAGCCCCGGGCCTGACTGACGTCGAGAGCTTTGTGGCACACGCTGGGCGTTCAGACACGCCGGCAGCTGGGCTGATCAGGCACGTGTGGGCCTCCGGTCTCCGGCACAAGAAAGAAGTCACAGAGGTTTCTCTTCTGACGAGCCTCCCTGGGAGCAGGAGGAAAGCCCTCCGGTGAGTTAATAAGCGCAGAGAGCAGGAGGAAGCACAGAACACTCAGGCCCCGCTGGGCTGGCCCAACACGAGTCTGGGTCCTGCGGGTGCGGTTCAAGCGCAAATAATGCTGACCGGAACCGCCACAGGTCCCAGAAGCAGCAGCAGGACAGTGTCATCGCAGAACACCTCTCTAAAGAAGGTTCTCAATCTTGGCCCAGTTTCCAAGAGCAGCACGAAACACAACCGAGAGGCTACAGTCTTAAAGTCACACAAGCAGACAAAAAGCTCTTGAAACACCGAAGCTCCAAGGACTCATCCCTAACGATCAATCTTCCGCCACCCCTCTCCCAGGCTGGACCAACCAGATACTGACAAAGCTGCGGGAAGGGTGAGTCCACGGCGGAGCCCAGAGTCCTGGGGACCGAGGGACAGGGGCCCCCAGAAGGACGGGAGGCAGAACGTGCGGGCCTGGGGGCAGGGAGCAGCGGTAAGACGCCTGCCCTGGCCATCCTCCCCAGCAGAGAACGAGAGGCCAGCTCCCCGCCCGGCAGCCCCCACCACAGCCCCCCTGCATCCAGCCACTCCCCTGCTGGCAACAGCTCGACACAGAGGGGCCCAGGCTGCTGCGGGGGCCTGACGGGCACAATGCTCCACAATGGCGTTTCCCCTTTTCCCCCCAAAACTCAGTTCATCTCGTTTGTATTTGCCTAAAAGGAACGGCCTGCCCCAAATGCAACCGCTGCCTGAGCATACACGGAGTCCCTTCGCAAAGCCCGACGGCACAGGGCAATCAGACCCCGGCCAGCACTCGGCCGCCGACCTCACGTGAAGAAGCTGTTCAGATGTCGGCAGCAGAGTCACTTCGGGCCCGTCCCCCCAACGGCGAAAGTACTTCACCCGACGTCAGGGGCCCCGGCAGGAGCCGCCCCGGCAGCCTCGAGCAGGGCGGCTGCGGGCGACGCCGGGGAGGCAGGGCCGTGCGGTCAGCGGTGCCCTCCGCCTACCTGATGCTCAAGCCCGTGGTCTGCTCCAGCCGCTCCCAGCTCTGCAGCTTTGCCAGCAGCCTCTGGAAAGACAAGGAGGTGAACGCTAAGAGCGCCACGACCCCAGCATCTCCCTTCCGAGGCCTCCGCAGCCGCCTGCTGCCCTTCCTCACGCAGCCCCACCTCAGTCCCCGGACCAAAGCGCCTTACACAAAGGCGACAGCATCGAGGTGGATGTTAGGTCTCCCTGGTCCCTCAGAACAGCCTGCTCTTATCTCTGAGCTAAAGGCGGAAGCACTCCGAGTCTGCCCCGGAGCAGACGGCTTACTCCCACCAAGAGCACGCTCGGCCTCACACGTTCGCGGTCCCACGGAGTCAGGGAAGAGTCCCAGCAGGGAAAGCACCGGGGAGTAGGGACAAGGGTGGTAAACAGCCGCGTGCGTGGTCCCATAAAAACAGCCCGCGCCCCAGGGCAGACCTGGGCGCTGAAACCACAAGAACCCACCGCCTCTCCCACGTTCCAGGGGCTCCACAGGACGCGGGGCCCCAGGGCAGACGCATTTGGCCCTAGAGCCAAACTACCCCCAGCTGACATGGCCGACCCGGGCCCGGGGCCCCACAGGGAGAACAGAAGGTGGGGACATCACCTGCCTGGCCACACCCCGACCCACATCCCACGTTAGAGTTCCCCCCACCTCTTCCAGAATGTAAGCAATGTGAGGGCAAGGACCATGCGCCTCTGTCTGGCCTCCCCCCAACCCCGCCCGGGCCAAGCGCCCTGCTGGCACCCCTGCATTCACTCAGTCACCTGACGGCCCTATCGCGTGCAGGGCGCAGCTGGTTAACGACTCTGTCGCTAGAGCCGATGCTCAGTGACCATCTACCAAGGGCCAGGCACTGTTCAAGCACAGGACGTGAATTCATTGAGCCCTCCTGACCCTGCAAGGCAGACACTGTTCCTCCCCGTTTTATAGGAGACAGAGAGTATGAGTCACTTGCCCAGGGTCACACAGCCACCAAGCAGCCACGGCAGGATTTCACGCAAGGCAGTGCGACTCTGGAGACAGAATCTTAACCAATTTCAGAATTGCTGAGAGGAAACACTGCTCTGTCTGGAACTGCATCTTCAGGCTGAGTTCATACGGAGGCCAGCATCCTAGAGGAGCTTGGCTCCCACCCTGTGAGGCCAAAGGCGGCCCCTCTGTCCAGGTGCAGGCAGCTACCAGCACACCCCCATCACCCAGGAACCGACAGAGGGCCCCGTGGCTTATAGGTGAGACAGAGCTTCTGCACCCCCGCACGCGCACGAGGGAGAAGCGGGATGCTTGCAGCACCAAGTCCTACGGACATCGCCCCACAAAACGCCACCGTGAGTCCAAGAGCAGAAGAAATGGAGCCCGGGCACCTGCTCACATCTGCGGGGGGGGGAACAAGGCTGGCGTCAGGTGCCCCACACCACCTCCTCTGTGACTCACTACCTGGATCAGCTCTCCCGTTTCTGCCGGGCGGCTGAGAACAGTACAACACACGCTCTTAGAGCTCCTTCTGGAGGCTCTTGGGAAGAACCCATTTCCAGCCCTCTCCAGCTTCTAGAAGCCCTCCTCTGTCTCCACACCTCAGCAGCAGGGGGGCTGGGTCCTCCCCTCATGATACCTGATTCCCCCACGCGTCCCCAGCGCATCCCAGCGCATGCGAGGATGCCTGACCACCGGGCCACCGCGCTCCCCGGCCGAGTCCCCCCACCCCGGGCCGGCTCACGAGGGCCCGCACGGAAGGCCGGGCACAGTTCTGGGGCCACTGTTCAGCCCACCCGCAGCCCAGCACTTCCACGTGTCAGGAGGGGAACTGGAGCACTGGACTGAAACACCCAGGGTCCCCCGGACAGAGGACACCCCCAGGGAACAGCCCACCTCCTTCTCCAGCTCCAGGACAACCAGACTCTCCCGCGTCTTCTCTTGCCGCCCCAGCCGCCGCCGCAGCCCCTCCAGCTCCTCCCTGAGCAGCCCGTTGGTCTCGCGCATCTCCCTGGCAGGGCCGGAAATGCGGCCGTCAACACACCGTCAACACACCGGGGGACGGGAGGGGGCGGGAGGGGGCGGGAGGGGGCGGGGGGGCGGGGGGGGAGGGCAGCCCGGGGCGGCCGCCCCGCCCTGCCCCACCCCGGGCCCCGCCCCACGCCCCGCCTGCCTCACCGCAGGTAGGCGCTCTCCTCCCGCAGCTGCTTCAGCTCCCTCTCCATCTTGGGCAGCCGCACCAGCTCGGACTTCATATTCTTCACGACTGCGGCATCCTGCTCCTGCAGGGACAGCTTCTGCTCCAGATCCTGAGGGAGGCCAGGGGGCAGAGAGGACGAAGTCGACCACCGCGGCCTGGTCCCGCGCCATACACCAGGGGTGCCTCTGCACGACGTCCTCCGCGTCGTGGCGCTACAGGCTGGGGCCACACCTTGGTGCCGCACTGCCCTCGGGCGCGGGGCCCCGGCACACACATGCCCGAGCACAGGCAGCCAAGGCTCCCTGAACAAGCACGGCAGTCAAGCACAGCACTCCTCCCCTGCCAGACCCGCTCCAGCCACACTAGAGCCCGCCTAAGAGATGAGTCTTTTGCACGTTGCCGACGGCCTTTCCTTCACGACCTGCAGTCTCAAGACACACTGGGGACAGCTGGCATCCGTCAGCGACAAGTCAACAAACAAGCTCAGTGCCTGAGACCAGGACCGAGTCAGTCAGTCAACAGACATTAAGAGGCTCAGCTCTGCGCCATGTGCAGGCCAAGCAGCAGGGCCAGGGCAACACAGGACACAGCTAAGTCTGGGAGAAGAGCAGACACTGTGCAGTGCAGGCGAGCCCACTGCGGGAGGGGGGCCAGCAGGCTGCACAGCCGTGAGGTGCCAGAGCCAGGCGGGCACCACAGCCAGAGAACAGCACGTGGGAGAGCAGAGGCGGGGGGGCAGCCAAGAGGCCAAGGCCTGACAAGGAAGCAACGCTGGGGGGAGGTGGGGGGCAGCAGCCCCAGCCCTGAGCACGGCACACACACAGATGAGCGACAGAATCAACAGTACGTGGGCACAGGCAGCTCACGGTCCCCAGACGCCCGAAGCGTGCCCCAGCTAAAGCGGCTGGATGGCTGAGACCACCACCGGGACGTCCACCAGACACAGCCTGCGCCTGAGACGGAGTAACGCACCCTGATCCTCTGCTCCTGGTCGGCCCTCGCTTCCTGGCTGGCCTGGAGCTCCTGAACCTTCTGATTAGCCTCCTCACATTTCCTATCGAGAGAAAAGCACATCACGTGCAGACAGAGGTGAGGAGTAAAGCCAGCAGTTGCCCTCACCCTAGAGGCTCTCCAGTGTGGACCCCCAGACCCCAGGGCACTAGGGCCTCGGTCTCTTCGGGTCACACCCCCAGCTCTCTTCCCTCGCCTCCGCTGCGCGCCCCTGGCACAGCCACAGCCGAGGCCCCTCCCGTGGACCGCCCCCCCCACGCCCCCAACCCTACCCAGGAGCGTCCAGAGCTCTCCTAGGACAACACCTGCGAAGGTAAAGGCCTAGATCACAGGGAGAGAATTCCGCCCTCTGACCTTTCAGACTTCCATGCCTACTCAGAAGGCAGCCTCCGCCTGTACAGCCCCTCTGGCCCACACCCCATCCGCCCCAGGGGCACAAGCCTCACTTCTGGGGAAGCTCTCTGTGAGCAGGGGTCCCAGCCCCCGGGGGAAAGAAGAAATGACTGCTCCCTGCTGTTGTTCTCAGAACATTTAAAACACTCATCATCCTCACTTCAGTGGCCCCTGCGTCTGCTGCCAACAGCCTATGGACGGGGAGGACAGACCCTAAGGACACCTGTAGGTCCTCGGGGCTCGGTGCAGACGGCACGCATGAACACTGGGTGCACAGACCACAGAGGGCACAGGATGACGAGCCCAGGCCTTGCTGTTCACGGTCTCACACACCGATAACCACTGGATGTGCAGCTCGGCACAGGCCCCAGCAGGCGTCAGCCTGACTAGACCCAGGGTGACCCACGGGCAGGCTCACCTGGCAAAGGGGCAGGGCCCCACCCCAGCGCAGCCACTCACTTGTGCTGCAAGGCCAGCTGCTCCTTGAGTTCCTGCTTCTCAGACTCCAGGCTCTTCACCTGCATCTCCTGATTCATCATGCTCCACTGCAACTCGGAGACCTTCGCCTTTAGCGCGCTGATGGTCTGGGGGGGGGGGGGGGGCGGAACACAGCTGCTGCTTACGGGCTGTGACACACACACAGAGGTGAGCTCCTGACCCACAAGCCCACGGGCCAAATGGCCCCAAAAGAGCCTGCACCTGCCACCCCCCTCCTGTGGGCAGGGACCAAGCCCTCTTCTCCTTTCCAACCCATGATCTGGGCGGACAAGCCGCCCCTCAACCCAACCCGAGTATCCTGGTCTGCAGCCGGCCTCGCACTTCCCTCAAGCAAATGGGAAAAGACTGGGTCATGGGGATGGGCTGCCTGCCGAGAGAGGCCCGTGCCCCATGACATCTGTCACGTGGGACCCTCACTTGTGCCCAGCGTGCTTGTGCGGCTCCCCGCACCGCACCTGCCCCGAATGAACCCCCACCATGCCCCCATCCCAGCTAAACACTCCCTGGGAACCACAGCCACGTCCTGCCAAGAAATGGGGGACTGAGGCCATCTTCAGAACGATGCTACAGGAGCCCGCCAGGATGGAGGAGCCACGGGAATGCCTCGGCCAGAAGGCAAGAATGGGGCCAAACATCCACCCGCGAGGAAAGCGCAGGCATGCCCTCAGCCAGAAAGCCGGGGCTGGGGAGGCTGGCCCAGGGCCAAGCCTCTGGACTTTCAGAGGCAGACCTGCTGCCCTTCCATCAGTCCACACCCTCACCAGATGACCTCCCAGTGACCATCTGGTGACTGCTCTCCCTCTATGGCTTTCCCAGGGGGAAGCCAGCCCACCCATCAGGCCACCAGGGAAGCGCACTCAGAAGGGTCCCTGTAAATTAACCTTCTGGAGCAGAGGACAGGGACCCGGTCCAGCAAACGCCCCACAGTGAGGGACACCAGCAGTCCCAGGGCAACCCCTGCCAACAAGGAGGCCTGACTCACTCTCACATGGCCCAGGGGCCCACACCAACCCAGGACCCACATTCCCCGGGGGAGGCTGACACAGGCCGTCCACACCCATACTCCATCCATCTGCTCTGTTACAAGGGTGCCTATCAACCCGGGCATCACAGAAGAATGGAACTACTAAAATACATTTAACTAGGAAAACCACCTTTGAGAAGTCTTCCTGAATCCAATTAATGCACACAGGACCTGGCTCTGGGGAAGCCCGGCGGTCAGCAAGAGGACTTCCCGGTGATGAGCTTACGACCCAGGCACGGTGGAGAGAGTACATGTGGGGGCAGTGATGATGGAGTCACCAGGGAAGGCTTCTCCAAGGAGGTACAAATAACAGAAACAAAATTCAGGGTCCTCCATCCTGACTGGCCGCCACCTTCCCACCCTGGCCCCTCTCTCATCCTCTTTGCAACCTGTGTGGCAAGGTTCTCCCCCAACCTCGCTCTTCACTGAACAGAGCGCAGGCCCCGCCCTCCCCCACGGGCCCCACACCAGCCTCCAGAACGCAGCCTAGGCAAGCCAAGGGCCACAAGGGGACTTGTCTTGAGGCCGATCACAGTTCCTCTCCTGCCAACATCCACATCAGATGACAGATGTAGGAACAACCTTAACATGCTCTCCAGAGCTGCCAAGGCAGAAATAACCTGCAGCCTGCTTCCCGAGATCTATCAAGGAGAGAAAAGCACGCAGAGACAGAATACCAATGATCTCGCGCCCTGCTCCCTCCCCGGGCAGTGCTTCATCTTTTTCCTCACTGCACCTGTGATCCGCAGCGCCACAGCAAAGGGACAGGGAAGGTCAGGAGAGTCCAATTTCCACCAGCATCAATGTTTGGGCTCTGTTTCTAAAATCTGTACAACTTTCAGCTGGTAGAGAGAGTAAGGACTACAGTTCATCTATGCGCTTGCTTCAAAGACATTCTCAAATACTCACAGACCTGCTAATAACCAAAGAAATGCAAATCCAGGGGCAACACTACATCTCTGGGAAGGGGGAAAAAAAACCCACAGGTACTTCCAGAAGATAGCACCATCCATGACAGGTAAGGCCACAGGGAAACCAAAGCCCTCCACGATGCCACCAGGACAACACAGCAACCAGTAGCAAAAGCCAGACGTTGTCCCCAGAGACCTGAATCCCCATTCCTAGGAATACGTCAAAATCAGTAACAGAAGTCAAACGCTACGTGCGACCTGACGCATGTATGTGCATGTATATACATCTACCAGAATGCACGCACATAAGTAAAGTTTTTAAAGGACGCAATGCAGACTCTTCAACCGCTAAAAGTCATAACTACAAAGACTAAGTGTTTGATTCATGAACTGAAGGCCACGGAGTGGAAAAGGAGTTATTTTTACCTGGATTAAGACAATGCAAACCCCGCACACACGTGGCAAGGAGGCAGAGGAAACCGCCCAGCGCCGCGGTAGGGGCACCCCAGGGCGCCCACGCCTCTCCCCCGAGAAACGACACCCCTGGGACAGCGCTCACCTCGCCGGCCGCGGCCAGGCCGTCCTCCTTCTCCCGCAGCTTCTGGCCGGCGGCATCCAGGCTTTGCTTACACAGCCTATGGCGTTCCAGCTGCTCCTTCATCTTCTCCTCCGCCTCGGCCTCCCGCTCCTGCAGCTGCCGAATGCGCGTCAGGAGCTCCTGGTTGCGATCCACCTCGCGCTGCCAGAGTGGGGAGAGTAAGCGAGAGTGGGGAGGCCCACCCCAGTCCTCCCTCAGGACGGGGACCCCTCCTACACCAGTGCTGGCCACGCAGCAGGCCCTGCTCACACCACCAGAGGCCCCTCCAGGCACGTCCTCTCCCACAGGCCTGCAGAACCACCGTGCGTCTTATGCTGGGAAGGCAGCCCCAGGACTGAGATTCCTCACTCTGATGGACCTGGGTGGTCTCGGGAGACGGCAGTCAGCCACTTAGGGGCTCACCCTCAGCCCAGAAGCAAAGGGACCACCAAGTGGGCACCCGATGCCGCTGACCTCTGGCCTCTCCCTGGGAGGCGGCGCTGCAGAAGGCCCACCAGCACACCCGAGGCAAGTGCTCAGACCAGGCTCTCCAGCCCAGCATCAAGGAGGAGCTAAATGAACACGGAGGGACACGGCCCGCTCGAGGGACCTGCAAGTCTGGCCTCGAAGAGTCGGGGGACCCTTCCACAATGCAGGGCCCCACGCAACCCACCACAGAGCAGGACATAGCATCTCTATTCAGGCTGCCCATCCCAAGTTCACACAGGCAGTCCCTGCAGGTCCCCAACCCAAGTTTCACCATCTGAGAGGTTCTGAGATCCCCACCCATGGCCAAACTGGCAGTCCCTGAAAAACCATGACAGATGTCCAAGACTCAAAGGGACAATTTGAAAGCCACCGGCTCAGATGGTTCCAGGTCACATTCAATCATGTCTGTGGGTGGGAAGGGAAAGGCCTCTCAGACGGAGGCTAAGCCCAGCGAGGACCTGGGATTAGCTCAGCCCTGCATGCTTTGATTTCCCCAAGAAAAGACTTCCACCAACCGTGAGACAATCCACCCAACCCATTCCAAAGTATTCTAAGTACCTATAAGGTACCATGGCCTGCACTGCACCCTGGAGACCCAAGGCAGCCAGGACAGGTCTTGCCCTTGATGGACTAATGGCTCAGGAAAATTCCAATAGCTCCATACCCCCTGCCATCTCCCTGAGAGTCAGGGTAGTAGCACCAACACCCCAGTTCCTACGATCTGATGGCCCCTGGTGCCACCTTCAGCCCTAATAATGCACTTCTAAGAGCAGCAAGATTCCCACGGCCTCTCCCTGTCCCTTCCCACTAGTTCCTCCAGGACTGTCCCTCCTAGGACGACCCAGAACATCAGCTAAAGCTCCACCTTAGGAGGAAGCCCTGGGAGCAACACCAGAGCCAATGCCAAGGCCGTGGGACCCACTTGTAGGCCATGTTCCTGGGCTACTAGGCCCACACAGCACACCACAGCCAGAAGCCTGCATACCAGGGTCAAATACATCCATTAGCATCACACCCTTGAAGACATCCACTATTTTTACAGGACTAGGAAAGCATGCAAATATGCCACATAAGGCAAGTATGGGGCCAGACATCCACCCTTGGGGGAAGCGTAGGCAGGTCAGAGACATGCCGGTTCAATGCTTTGCCTAAGTCTTGGCAGCATTTCCACAAATCATGAGCACTTACTGAAAACCCTTGGCAAAGTGCTGTTAATTGAAACAAAAAAAGGGATTTATGCCCTCAGTAAAAACCTAGTACCTTCCCTAGGTAATGGGGGGTTGCATTTGCCCAGTCTGCCCTAGGTAAGCCAGGGACAACAGGAAGTACCCCCAAGACTGGAGACCCTTGCTCTGAGGCCCTCTAACCACGTGAGCAAGATTGGTCTGGCCTGGACCTGAGACCTTTACACAACCCAGTGACTTTCTAAGCCTGTCATCCCTGTGGTACCTCGTATTTCTGCTGGATTTACACCCCAAGTCTTGGGGGCAGGGGGGAGTGGGGGCTGGGGTGGGGTGGCAGGGAGAACAGGCAGCCCAGCAGAGAGGCATGCCCGCAGAGCCAGCACCTCACCGGCAGACATGGCAGACAGCCGTCCCCTGTGCGCTGCCCCCCTCAAGGACATGAAGCATAGCTGCTGTCTGTGGCTTAACAAGGCAGTCCCCGGCAACCCAGAGGCAGAGCACCCAGGCTCCCTGCCAGGAGGCTTGCCTGCCTTATGGCCTAGCAGGCACCGTGCACCTGCTCACACCCACCTCATAGCGCCTGGCACTGGTGCTAGCCGCCCGCTCCAGCTCCACTCGAGCTCTCTTGTGGCTCAGCTCCATCTGCATCTTCTCCCGCTCCACCTGGACGACCTGGGACTTGGAACGGATCCGCTCCGCTCGTTCCTCCAGCTGACCAGGTCACACCCAAGGGGAAGAGAACCCTCAGCAGCTGTACCAAATAGGTGAGCGGCTTGTCCGACACTCACACCGAGCACCTGCCTCCAACAAGGCCCATACTCAGCCCTGGGGAAGAAGGATGGATGCTGGGCCCTTTGTTGGAAAATGGGTGGGGAGAGGCGGTAAACGAAGAGGAAATAATAACAGGAAGAGAAAGGTATACTTTAAGATGACAGTGTGTAGGCTTGTTCTAGAGAAGAGGGCATGTTAGTTTCCTATTGCCATGTAGCAAATTACCACAAACTCAGCAGCTAAAATCCCACGTTATCAGTCAGGTTTTATGCACAGAAGGCCGGGCACACATGGCCAGGTTGTCTGATCAGGGTCTCACAGGCTAAAATCAACACTGGTGGCCAGGTTCTAAACTCATCTGGACCTTGGGATCCTCTTTCACACTCACACGGCTGGAGGACTAAGGTCCCGCTTCCTTACTGTCAGCCCCAGGCTGCTGTCAGCTCCTAGAAGCCACCCACATCCCTTGCATGTGGCCCTCTCCACCTCCAAAACCAGCAAGAGAGAATCCCCCATATGCACAATCCCTCTCCCGCTCTGAGTAAGTCAGGCCCACCATCTTCAAGTCGACTGATTTCTTAATTATGTTGGCAAAATCCTGCTGCCACAGAACCACATTAGTGTTTAAGTGGGAGAAAGTGTGGTCCACCAGGGGCCAGGGACTTAAGAGCCATCTTAGAAGTCGGCCTGCCACAGAGGGTAGGTACATAAAGGTGAGGTCAAGCCTTGAAGGGTCTCAGAAGACACACCAAACAGTTTCGCAGAACCACTGACTGTGTTAAGGCATCGTCCTCACACGGACTAGAGCCTGACCGTTCTAGGAATGGCTAGTGACACAGCCGCTGCTGGGCAGTAAAAAGAAATGCAGAACCTCAGGCTGCACCCCAGAGATGTCAAATCAAAAACTTCCTTTTACACATAGACTCAGGGATTCATATGCACACTGAAGTTTGAGAAGCACTGGGCTAGAGCAAGGGGTTCTCAGTTCCACCAGGGACACGTGGCGACATCTGGAAACACTGCTGTCAAAAGAGGGGGTGGGAGCATGTGTTCGCTACTAGCATCCAGTGGGCAGAGGCCAGGGATGTCCCTTAACATCCCACAAGGCAGAAGCAAGTCCTGCAAAACAAATTCTCCAGCCCCAAATGTCAGCAGTACCAAGGTTGAGAAATCCCAGGCCAGAGGAAAGGCATCTTCTCTACCCACCCCCTCACACACTCTTTGAGGGCCCGAGTCCACACTTTCTTTATCCTCTGACATTTTCTCTCATTTCAGTGCACACCGGCTGAAGTGTGGGGGTTCCGAATTCCACCCTCCATCATACTCACTGGCCTTCCCAGTCTCGGCGGGCAGCGAGGGCCCAGCCGCTCCAAAGGACGGCCCCCAGCTCCCGTGGGACCTACTGCACAGCGGCCAGGAGCCCTAGAGAGACGGGTCTGTGGCCACATCTTCCTGGCCCACAGACTGCATTTGAAGGAGAGTAACTGAAACATGTTTCTGTTTAAACCAACACTGACATGGAGCAGAGTTTCCCACAGAAACACGAGCATTAAAAAAAGGGCAAGGGGGCAGGGACTGCCAGACTCTCCAGACCTGTGGGGTCTCAGTTCCCTTACCTGCCTTTGGGGGCAGCTTGGCAGGGCACAAAACTGATGCCAGAAGTGCTGGGATAGCACAGAGCCAGGTCAGGGCCCTGACAGGTCTTGCAGCTACAAGACTCTGACCAGCTCACTCTGCCTATGGGATCCCCCACACGGAGGAGGCCCTCCACAGCACCAGCTCAGTAAGAACTGGGCTTCTGAAATCCTATAGTTCTGACAGACTGGCCAAAAGTTCCCAAACATTTGCATCAACAAAATTACAACACTTCTTTAGACCAAAGTTGCCAATTTCTTATTTTACCAGTGAGCAAGAATCAAAAGCAAGACAAAAAAACAATTACCACCATTATTTCCAAAAACAGTGCTTTAACACCAAAAACACAAAAGATCCAATTTCGGAATAAAAAGTCTTTGCCAAAAAATGGCAGTGAGCAACTCAGTCCACTAAACGAACAAAAATCATTCAATTATTCAGCAAATGAACGCACACAAACACAGGAGCATTTGTTTAACCACATGTTGCCTGGGCTCCTTCAGGGCTCCCAGAGCCACAGGACACCACCGGCTCTGTCACAGGCCGTTACCGAGGACCGGCCTCAGCTGCATGAGCAGGGGACTGTAACTGCCTGATGCGGCAGTGGTGCGGTCTGGCAGGGGCCAGGGCCAGGCTGCACACAGCACCCTCTCCTCATGTGGCCCCAGTGACCCCTGCCCCATGAGACTGACCCCACAAGTTTGTGGAACCTCAAGTTGTCCAGGGGACCTGACCCTTCCTTAATGGTCTATAGTAAGCGTTGCTAAGAATGTGAAATAAGACTTCTTATAGGAAAACTGTAAAAGCCACATCGTGACAGACTGAAGCCAAGATCTGCAAACGGCCCCCCATAGTCTGAGACCACGACATACTCAATCTTTCTCTCTACTTGGAGACCCCTCCGCACACATGGGCACTCACCTGACCTAACTGGCACCTGAACAGGCCCCACCTAAGGGCAGGTGTCTTCTACCCAGAGACCCCTTCGTGCCACAGGGCACTCACCTGCATGCTCTGCTGGTACTGCATCTGCAGAGAGCTTGGGGCAGAGGCGGAAGCGTCCAGTCCAGACCCTGCCTCCACCCGCTGAGAAATGAAGCTGTTCAAAGACCTCAGGGTGGACAGCACGGTGGTGTTTTCCCCCAGGTCATCCATGGCCACTGTGCTTCTGGAGGAAGACAAGGGAGGGGTCACCGTGAGCCTCTGCAGGCATCATTAGCTCTACCAGCAGCCCCACTCTCCCAGTGCCCTCTCAGAGCCCTTACGATACCCCAGTGTTCATAACCACATGTTCGCAGTTAGCTGGCAGGCCAAACTCATCTGTAAACTGGGGCTCCTGAGAGCCACCACGCGCAGCTGCTGTGGGGATGAGTCCAGCAATACGTTGCCAGATGGCAGAGGCGCAGCCAGTACCGCAGTTCATCACTCTGCCTGTAACTTCACACAGGACATCTCAGACTCCACAAGGGGCCAACTAGGTCTTTCTGCACGTATTTCACACATCATGAAAGTGGGGTTTCAGAAAGTTACAGAATGGACTGGAACCCAGGTCTGTGTGGTTCTAAAGTCCAGTGTGCCCCACAAGCGTCAGTGCATGGCAGAGCACAAGCAACAGCAAAGAACCGGCATCCCCGGGGCACCCCCTGGGCGTAGGTTAAGCGTCTGCCTTCGGCTCAGGTCATGATCCCAGGGTTCTGGGATACAGCCCCATATCAGGCTCCCTGTTCATGGGATAGTCTGCTTGTCCCGCCCCACCTTGTGCTCTCTCTCTTGCCCTCTAATAAATAATTAAAATATTAAAATATTAAAAACAAAAACAAAAAAAAAGAACCCACATCCCCAAACCTGTACTGACCGTGGCCTGACGCCCACCCGTGGACAGGAAACATCCCAAGTACAGTTAATGAGCAAAGGCGTGAATTCCCACAGGTGCATGGGTAAAAGGCTGGCCCTAAGTATTAGATTGGAAACACCTCCCCACCAACACCCCAGGGGAAGAAAGTGAGGCCTCTCACTCGGAATCCCTGTTGGAGGAGAACAGAGCCCTTCTCCTCTGTGGGCGACATTAGCACCCCGGACAATGCAACTGTGCTCACCTCCTCTCAAACACACTGTCGATGGAAAACGGACTGCAAGATGGAACAGGACCAGCACCGAGTGCTGAGAGCCTGGCAGATAAAGGCCCAAGCGGCAGGAGACGGCAGAGGCCAGCTCCAGAAGGCAAAGCCCTCCGTCTGCCAAGATCAGATCGGGGCCATACTCTCCATCCCCTAATGGGAAACTTAGCCACCATGTCCTGTTCGGGAGAAGCCATGCCCTGTAAGAACTGATGTGTGTAATCCACCGGAATGAAGAGCACACACACGTTTCCAACTGCCTGGAACTAAGCCGCTGCACCAGGCATGCGATTAGGCAGCAGCTCAAACTCCATCTCTTTATGCGACAGACTCCAATCTTCTGCAACCCAACCACGGAAACCGAAACCCCGGGAAATCACAACCCCTGGGCTGCGCGTGCAGAGCATGCTGCCTGTGAGCTGCCCTTCTCCGCCCCGGCACAGCACGGGCACTTCTGCAAACTCTGGGCACATGGGCGGCTCCGCCAGGCCCCAGGCGCCGGGTGGGGGTCGGCCGCGCTCCGACCCCCGACCGCTCGCCGCCACCAGTGAAGCCGGCTCGGACCCCGGCTCCGCTCCGAGGGACCGAGGGCGGCGAGGAGGAGGCCAGCGGGCAGGGGGAGAGGGCAGCGCCCGCGCCCGGCCCGCCGCCCGCCGCCCACCGCCCACCCGGGACCCCAGCGCCCGGCAGCTCACCTGAGCCCCGGCCGACCGCCTCCGCCGCTCAGATCTCCCTCCTCTACGCCCGCGCCCGCGTATCGCGAGACCTGCCGCCGCGCTCTCGCGAGACCTGGGCAGAACCGACCGTAAATACCCGGGTCTGTGCACCGGCGAGTCCTGGGAGCTCCGCGCGCGCCCGGGAGCCGCCCGCCCCCCGGAGACCTCGCCCGGAGGACTCTCACCAAAGGCCGTCCCGCAGGCCAGTCGGGGTGCCCGCCTCCCCCAGCGGGACGGACCGCCCCTGGGGCGGTGGCCTCTCACCGTATTGTGTAGAATAGCACCGCCCGACGGTGGCCTCTTCGGGCCAAACTTTCCTGCTCTTGACAACTCCCAAATTTTGCTACAGTATTGGCTTGAGTTAGTACGTCTTTACTTTCCTCTGGGCTCACTGGAAAAGCAAAATACTCTGCTGCTAGGCTATCCTCCCAGGGCCCTGTGAGCTCCCACAGCCACAGACCCTCGTCCAGTAACGGGGGTCTCCCTCCCTCCTGAACCTCCTCCTCCCTGCCCCCCCTTCCCCGGAGTGGGCACCCGAGGGTCTGCACCACCACCCCCCGCCAGGGTCTGGAGGGTCTGCACTGCACTCCAAAGGTCTGCACAACGCCCCCCCAAGGGTCTGGGGGGGTCAACACCCCTCCCCGAGGGTCTGGAGGATCTCCACCGCCCCCGGGGGAGCGTGAAATAGGATGGGGTCAGGGGATGCGCTGGGGGTAGGACAGGTAAGTCCTGGACATAACTGACTACAACCAAAAATAACGTGAAAAAATCCTAAATCCGGCCTCCAGCCCACTTCAGAGTGCTGGACTGAGCCCTTGGGCCCTGGTGGAGATTATGGGTATCTACCTAGGCTCTCCCCCAGCCCTATCCTTGGGATTTAATCAGCAATAGGGTCAATACACTCTTCTTGAGGGATGAGCACACCTCCAGGAAATGGCTTTGAAGAAACCAATTTTTATAAAAACAAACTGAAAAGCATGGAAATCCCTTAAAAATCGTACAATCTATGTCGTTCTGTAAAGCTGCACCGAGTTCCTGGAAGAGAGCAGAAGAAGTAGATGCACACAACACGTGGATGCTCCCTCTGGCCACTGCCAGCCTTGGGGGCCCCCGGGGTTTCAGCAATAAAACAAAGCATGCCAGCCCCCTGCATAATTCATACCAAATGTCTTCCCTAATTGCGGGGAACTCCCGCTACTTCAAGAAGGGATTAACACATCATCCACCAGAGAGATGGAGATTAATCCCCAGGTTGAAAGTTCAGGTTTTCACATGCTACACCGTATAAGCAAAATGACAAGGAGAAGCCTGGGTGTTGCGGTCGGTCGGTCAGGGCGGCAAGGGTGGAGACTTTCTCTGTTACACGGGAACACTCTGTGACATGACAGTTACATCGAGGTTACACCAAGGTCCACGTGCGCCGCCGGCTCCTTCCCACTGTCTTTTCATCCTTTCTCTCCGCCTCACGAATCCCATTTTAGAGACTGTTTCTGATCATACATCCCGGCCAGCGAATATCGTTTTGTTGTATCTTTTTGGCTTAAAACAAAGGCCCCCCACTTGTCCTGCCTGCTGCATCCCGGATCAAACCCTGGGACCACCCCCACCCCCCGCCCCCCAGCCACACTCCCAGCAAGAGCCCAGATGACACTTGCAGTGAACAAGGCTCGGAAACTGCAGGAGAAACCCTCAGTCCTCCGCAAACTCCTTTCCTCTTTGGTACTGTGTGGCCAAGAGGTACACCTCTGACGACTCCTTCCTGCTGGCTCTGGGTTTCACCATCCTGGTGTTCTGGAACTGCTCTGTCAGTCGCTTCTGTAACGCCAGGCTTTGACTTCCAGCCCACATTTTGCAGAGGAATGTTCCACCAGGGTGCAGGACATCTGGAGCCAGGTCCAGAAGGGATGAGCACAAGCCAATGAGCCTGTCATGATCCAGGCTCCGGATCCCTGTGGCGTTGGGTGCCATGTCACTCAGAATCACATCTGCTCTCCCTCCAGGAAGCAGTTCTCGGATTCTCTGGAGGATTCTCGGGTCAGTCATATCAGCCGGGCACAGAAAAGTTGCTCCCTCCAGGGGGAATATGTGAAGAAGATCTACCCCAAGCACAAAGCCAACAGGAGCACCGGGATCTAAAGAAGACAGGGTGAGTCCATTATTTACACCCTGAACCGTCCCTCAGAAATACGAATAGAAAAACAGAAATAAAAAGTCAAGACAAAGGACGGGAGCAAACATGAAAGATGTGGACACAAGGCCTTTCCCCTGCTCTATCCATCTACAGAGGCAGTCCTCACTCTGCATGTGAGGAATCTGGGGCCCAGAGAAGAGCGCCTGTCCCAGAGCACAGGCTCCAACTCTGACGTCATGTCATTTCCCGGAGCCTGCTCTCTGTGAGGGGTCTTATCTCTGAGCGGCCTTTCTGACAAACTATAACAGAAAAGGACACGCTAATAAAGTACCTCTGCATTAAATCAACATGTCCATTCTGCAGCTTAATCCAATTTCTTTCAATGCAGAAACTACTAGAAACGAGCCAAGAAATGGGGGATAGACAGGTGGAAAACAAAGTACAGAACGTGACCCCTCACCCGGGTTTGAGAGGCAGCCACGGCACAGTAAAGAGGCCACTGTTTCACTCGCCCCGAGCAGGCCCTGGTGTCCCCCGTCCGGGGAGGGCCCCTGCTCTGCCAGTACCCGTGGGGGGACCAGTTCAGGGTGCCTAGGCTTGCTGGTTCCCTCTGCTTAGCAGAGAGGCTGTTCCGTGGTGGGGTAATGTGCATTTTACTCCTAGCTAAAGACTAGAAGTCAGGTATTTTGCAGAGTACATTTTTCAAAAGAGAAAATACCATTTTCAATCCGGGAAAGGAGGACATCCCACATCTCATTTTATGCACTTGACTTCCTTTCCTTTGATATCCCATGTGTTCTAACCTGGGGGAGGGTCCACTAGAGGCAAATGGCTGTGGATGCCTTTTCTAACTTCTAGGAGGAAAAGAAACCCAATCATTTTATCCACACTCTTTGCCTCTGCCATGTCCTTCCTACAGGTTAAACTTGGCCATTTTCCTCCTTCTCCTGAAGAGCAATTATGGGGACAGGAAGCACTTGTTAGGTCTATGGATAGGCTCAGGGGTAGGAAAAGGAACTGAAGTCCCTGACACAAATGCCTTCACTTAGGCAGTGCTTACTGAGCTAAAAATATTTTTTTTTCACCTGTTCTAGAGCCGCTGGGGGCATCCCACCCACAGTAACGAGGCTGGATCTTAGTTGTGAACCCAGGGAGCAGCACTTCCAGCCTCTTTCAGCAGATCAGCAAACTCCTCTGAACCTCATTTTTCATTAGGACAATGGGCACAGAGCCCTCATTCTGCGTGTCGGAGAGAGGTTCTTGTGAATCGGCACATTTCACGTAATGCCAGGGACTGTGGTACCCTCCGACTTTAGGGTAGGAAAGAAAGGGGGAGGGATGCTCAGCACCGCGGGGTGCACACTAGCAGAAGACCTGGGAGCCACGCTGGTGCCCGAGAGGAGGCTACCCAAACAGCACAGCTGTCCTCTGGAGTTCTGTACAAGCATTTAAAAGGACAACGTGGTTTTCTAAATTGAGGGTACAGGCTTCCCTGTTGATTAATCAGGGGAACCATTTTCACAGAGAAAACCTTTGACGAAATCCTAAAATACAAGACGGCAAAAGCTGAGTCCCTCAGGCTGAGCCAGAGGAAGAACCCAGAGCCCCGGCCACGGGTGCTCCCGGACCAGCCCTAGCGGGACCTCAGGAACACCCAGAGTTTCAAGGACCAGGACCTGGAAACCCCTGCGGTTGATGCAGGTGTGCTGTCGCGGAAAGATGTCAATATATCAGTACGTGAAAAAAAACAGCTCCATTAAGGCTCCAAATCAGCAAGAAGAATGTGGGTGTGGAATACTAGCGTGTTTTGGGTTTTTTTTTTCTAGCGTTTTTGAGAAAGGAAATATACATATGTAGTTATGCGTGCAAAAGCGAATTCTGGAAGGGGGCACGCCAACGCACTGACGGACATACAGACGTGGTGTGACTTGAGGTGCTTTAAGTCTTCACCACAGCTTTCTACCGTGTCCGTCATTTTGAAAACATCAGTGTCCCACTTTCACCCTTCTTACTACCAAACAAGCCACCAAGTGGCTTGGCCACCCTGAATCCTCTGGTGGAGGGCAGCTGGCTTGTGCCTCCAGACCCAGGGTGGTCAGAGGCCCTACCTGTGCCCGCAGCATTGACCCTCTGCACAGCAACCTGGCTCCATGCCCCGGGGGCCGCCCCACAGTCTAGCACCCGGAGGCCGGGCCGCAGGATCCGGTGCCTCTCGTCCACCTCCAGGAGCTTGAAGGCACTTCGGCACCGGTAACTCTCCACCTTCGCGGCCTTCACAAATGGGTCCTTCAAATGGCGTGTCAGCCACAGGTGCTCAGCACCGGTCCGACCCTTGGAGTGACTCCCAGCAGTGTGAAACCTTTGACACTGAAGGGCCGCGCCTATCAGCTTCAAGGACCTGCTGGAGAAAAGGGGAGCAAACAGGCTGGCATCACACGGATAGGCAGGCTCCCTGGTTCAACCCACGTGTTTTTAGAGACAGCGCCCAGAGGCCCGAGAGGGGAGGGGACTTGGCAAGGCTACCCAGCCAGAAAGCAGGCGGAATGGGGTGAACTGAGTCCCTCCCCAAATTCGTGTGTGAAAGTCCTAACCCCAGGTACCTCAAAATAGAACTGGTCTTTAAAGAGGTGGTTCAGTTAAATGAGGCCAGATGGGTGGGTCTGAATCCAATATGACCGGTGTCTTCATCAAACACGGGACAGACGTGCACAGGGGAAAGACCATGGGGTGGGGCCACAGGGAGACGGCAGCCATGTACAGGCCAAGGAGAGGGGCCTCGGGAGAAACCAGCCCGGCGGACACCTCGACCTGGGGCTGCCGCCCCCAGCGCTGTGAGGCGGCAGTTTGTGTCGGTCCAGCCGCCTGGCCTGGGGTGCTTTCTCACTGCGCCCAAGCAAGCGAGCACAGCAGGCGTCGCCTTGTAGAAAAGAAGCGTCTTTCGCGCATGGAAGTCTTCTCCAGAAGGAAGACTCAAACATCACCGACGGTCACTCTGCTTGTGTCAACCCACATTTTTCCAGCACTGGTTAACGGTACCGTTAACATTAACAAAGGTATGGTTCCTGCTCGCCCGGTACAACTTTTCCTTGGGCTCTGCAGGACTGCAAGAGAACCCCCCGGGGGGCAGACCCTTGCCTTACTCAGCTCCATGTCTGTGGGGGCCAACGCAGGGCCTTACCAGTCACACCGCGTCATACAACTGAACTCTACCTGCGTGAGCAGGTGAAGGACAATTTCCAAGTCTCTTTGGCAAAGTCAAGTTTTTAACAGTTCATTGACTGCCGGGAGCTCCCCTTCCACCCCCTCACGAACTCTCAGCACAACCCTACAAACTAAGTTCTGCATCCGTTCTTCTGATGGAAAGAACCTACCATCATCCCCATGCCTCCAGGCCAAAACCCCTTCAACAACCAGAGCATGTTGACAAGATGTGGACACAGCAACTGTATCCGCTGCCTTCAAAGAGCGGAAGGGGTCTCCTGGAAGGAGCACAGAGCTTTCCTGGGCACCAGAACCAACTCCCACGGTTGGGGGAAGGCGGGAAAGCAGGGCCACACGCACTGAGACCTGCAGATTTGCGCAGCTGACCTCCAGCGCCCACCCACGTCTGGGGTTCAGCCACATGGCCACTCGTGGAAGACCCGTGCCACAGCCTTCAGACCTGCTGTGCCCTTGGCAAGCTTCGCCTCCACCTGCAGCGCCCCCTCACCCGTGCCCACTCCTTCCCCGCCCTCCACCTGGCTCCGTGTTGGAAGTCCTCTCCTAGGCGCCGCGTCCGCGCCCTTTTTTCCGCCGAGGGACCCTGGGACGCACCCCCAGCCCCGCCTCCTCCCGCACGCTTGCAGCAGGCGCTCCATAAATGCCGACAGCGCGCACCACCGCGCCCACCTTCCAGCTCACAACCCCGCTCACCGAGCCATGGGCGCAGATCCGCTCCGGCCGCCCGCGCCGGAAGTGCCGGCCTCGCTTCCGGCCTGAGGCCACGCCCCCGGAAGCGGTGCCGGGGTTCAGAAAGCGCGCGCGAAACGCGGGCTTGGGGACCCCGCACAGGGGAGCCGGGGAGCGGAGCCCGGGTCAGGTGAGCAGGGAAGAGGGGAAGGGGCGGGGGCGGGGCCTGGTGATGGGGGACCGGGGAGGGAGGAGGGGGGCTCGGCGGACCTGGGAGCGAGGAGGGGACCCGGAGAGAAGGGAAGGGGACCTGGGAGAGGGGAGGGGGGGCTCGACGGACCTAGAAGGGAGGGACCTGGGAGGGGGGAGGGGCCGGAGAGAGGGGAAGGGGAGGGGAGAGGGGCAGTCCGGGTGCCAGGTGAGTAGAGGTCAGAGGAGACGGATCCCGGACTACCGGGGTCTCAGGGCCTGAGGACCTGAGGTCCCAAGCCCCCCGCGCTGTATAAGACCGGCCTGCTGCTCTGCGAAGGGCGGATATTGTCTCTTAAAGCCCTGATAAGGGGCCTCAGTCTTCAGGTGACTTGACGGGGCCCCATGTGGGCCGTGGGGCTAACAGGTAGGGCTGCCCAGTCTGAGGCAGCCTCCCGGCCCCTGACACTAGGTAGGCTCTCTGAGGACCCAGGCCACTTGCTGCAGCATCTGTGCCCCTGCTGAACCTCAACAGCCGCTAGACCCAGATGGGGGCACTGAGTCTGCCCCTTGACCTTGGGTTCACCTCCGCCTGTGAGCTTCCACTTCTTCCTCTGAAAATGGAGAAGGCAAGTCTTAGCTCACGGGGTTGTTGGGTCTGTTAAATAGAATACTTTTTGAGAAGCATATAGTGAGTGCTTTTTTTTTTCTTTTTTTAAAGATTTTATTTATTTACCCGACAGAGAGAGACACAGCGAGAGAGGGAACACGAGCAGGGGGAGTGGGAGAGGGAGAAGCAGGCTTCCCGCCAAGCAGGGAGCCCGATGCGGGGCTCGATCCCAGGACCCTGGGACCATGACCTGAGCCGAAGGCAGACGCCTAATGACTGAGCCACCCAGGCGCCCCTAGTGAGTCCTTTCTTAAGTGATAGCTGACGCCCCCAGTGTCCTCCCCGTCACCAACACAGTTCACTGGGAAGCCAGGGCTCTCTGGGCATGAACCCGTCAGCCTCACGACCAAGTTCACAGGCATCTGGCCTCAAGCACAGAGACCCACCCCCAACGCCAGGGCCCACATGAAGGTGCCTTGTCTCAGACTCGGGAACTTCCCAGAAGGATCCCTGCTCCTGCTTCTCATCCAGCGTGGTCCCCAGGGTGGGAGACTTGTGTTCATCGGGTCCCAGGCTGCACTAGGGCTGGATGGACAGGGGCCCTGCTCCTGGCCCTCCCCCCACGTCTCCAGCAAGCACCCAGACTTCACCCTGGGAGTTTTCCTCTGGACCATGCTCGCCCATTGGAGCAGGAGGGGGGGCCCTTGTGGCTCCCAGGGCAGCAACGGTTGTAAGCAGATGAGCTGTCGCAGGAGGGAGGACCAGCCAGCCCTGCTGAGCGGGCTCTCCGCTGTCAGGAGCTACGCACTCCTTGGAACTCCGTAGGTCTGCTGAGGTGCAGAAGGCAGATCCCCACAGGCCAGAAGAAGACCCCACTGGTGAAAAGGCCACGGCCTAAAGCCTGACCCGAGAACCATGGGCTAACCCGTGTGGTTCTGTTGGCGCCCACGGGTGGACTGCCCCCTTGCCTCTGTGCTGAGGCAAGGCAGGCATTGACATGGCCATCTCCTGCCAAGGGCCTGGGCACTGCTGCCACTGGGTTCGCAGAGCCAAGCCCCTCCCTAGCCCAGAAGCTCCCTTGTTCCCTGAGGCGAGCCACGTGTGGCAGGGCTGGGAGATGACATACCAGCCTTCCCCTCCGCACCTTCCACGGCACGTTCCCATTCCACCTGGCCCCTGGCCTCCACCACACCCCGTCTGCACCCAGGTAGGGCTAAGCCAGCCCTCTTGCCTTCCTCAGGGGGCCCCCGGGGGACCATGGGCACCTCCAGGCTCTACACCCTGGTACTGGTGCTGCAGCCTCAGCGAGTGCTCCTGGGCATGAAGAAGCGAGGCTTTGGGGCCGGCCGCTGGAATGGCTTCGGGGGCAAAGTTCAAGACGGAGAGACCATCGAGGACGGGGCCAAGAGGTGAGGTTGGGGTGGGCCTGACCACACCACCAGCTCCCGAGGGGACAGACTGGAGCTCCTTATGGAGCCCTTGGGCCTCAGTTCCTTCATCTGCAGAATGGGAGGAACAGTAACAGCTCCTGCCTCTGGCGAAGGGTGTGGCAGGGTGGGGAGTGCCGGGTATGCACCTGCTGGGGACGTGGGGACGGGCTGGGGACGGACGCGGCTTCCGGCTGCGCTTGCGGCTCCTGGCTAAGGGGTGGTCCATCAGTGGACGTCTTGGTCTGTTCGGGGAGCCGACGACGAGCGTTTCCGTCTCAGCCTTTTCGAGCACACACACGCTCCGTTAATCCTCAGCACTTCCCAAGGGCAGGAAGCAAACCCCAGAGAGGTCGAGCGGCTTGTCTGCGATCACACAGCTCCGATTTCAAGCCCTTTGCCCTTCTTTCTCATAGGCAACGAGACTGTGTGTGTAAATGCACAAAGCACTACACAAACCGTCACCACGACTGATGTTATTCCGAAGAACGTCGGCAACCTTATTAAGGCCACTTTCCCTGGGGCAGAGCACAGAGCCCACCTCCATAGCAGCGAGGTTTCTGGAAGGGAAGAAGGCTGCAGGCCCTAGAGGCCGGTGGCTCTCGAGTTCGGGGTTTTTTTTTAAACATGACCACCACGTAGGAAATGTCTAGTCTCTGAGGCCGCGGCGCTGTCACTGGATGACGGGGCACGAACACGTTTCCCATCCCGTTGTCCTTCTTTAATCCCTGGTCACTAAGCTGGCTTCGTGGTGCACGGCTGGGCCACAGCCCTGTCTGAAAAGCCGTGGCAGTTCGTCCGTGGCGTGCACCTCCCCTTCATGGGCCCGGGACCCAGGGTCGCTGCGATGCCGCCACGTGGGGTCATTGGTTTTGGCAAGTGCAAGGCCGTGTGATGGGTCCTGCCTGGGGAGGGCACAGCTGGGGCAGAGCCCAGTCTGCCAAGACTCTGGCATCCGGCCCTGTGAGCCGCCCGGGGGGGGGGGGGCCGGGGTGCAGAAGAAACGGCGTGGAATATGGACAAGCAGTGGGTGCCAGTGGTCTGCTCTGCCAACCACCCGAACGTCTTTGTCCTCCTGAGCCCGTTCATTGGGTCCCGATGTCTGGGGCCCTGCTCAGTGTCAGGACACGGGAACAGGTCCCGACCCCAGCCCTGCGGAGCTCCCATCTAGTCTGGCTGCCAGGTTCACAGGGACGGGTGCAGAGAGCGGGTCTAGGGGACAGCCAGGGCTCTGGGGCGTCCAGAATAAAGAGCCAGGGCAGATAACTGGGCAAAAGGAAAACTCCCAAAGGACCTGACATTTGGTCCAAGCAGGTGGGAGGTGGAACGCAGCATCCACAGAAGCCCAGAGGCTGAGGGGCAGGGCCGTGCAGAGGTGTGTGGTGTGGGCCTTGTGGGGTACAGACAGCTTCACCTCTGTCTTCTGCCGTCCTGGCGACAAGCAAGCAAACTTGCAGGCCTCTGATTTCCTAGGGCCTGTCCCTCCTGCCCTCTCTATGTTCCGCATTTCCTGAAGGAGACACACACGTAAGACCCTCAGTACTGAGTGCAGTGGTGGCGTTCCCGCAGAGCAGGCTTGGGATCGGGCAGGAAATGCGAGTCGTCGAGATGAGGAAGCACATGCTCTCTGTCCCCGGGATAGAACTTGAATCCCTCTCGGTCGGCCTCCCACTGCTGCCACAGCCCCTGGCTGTCCCGGTTTGCAGCCATGAGTGGCACTGTCATCAACGGTCCCTGGTGCCGTGTCCGCTCTCCTGGCGGCCGCTCCCCGGGGCGGGGCTGTACAGAGCCCCGTGGTCGGGGTCATGTATGCACCCACAGGAGGCACGGGAGCTCCCTCCAAACCTCAGCAACACGCACTTTCTCTGATCTCTGATTTCAGCCGCTCTGAAGGGACCGATGCCTCGGTGAGGCTGTGTTCGCCCCGAGGGCCGTTGAGCTGGCGTGCCTGCCCCGTGTCTGCAAGCCACTTGGATGTCTGGGCTTTGTGAAGTGTCTGCCCAAGTCTTTTACCCATTTTTTAAAAATTGGGTTGCCTGTCTTTCTCTTCGGGATCTGTACTTCTTTATACACTTTAACATTCTTACTAATTTTTTTTAAGATTTTATTTCTTTGACAGAGAGAGACACAGCGAGAGAGGGAACACAAGCAGGGGGAGTGGGAGAGGGAGAAGCAGGCCCCCCGCCGAGCAGGGAGCCCGATGCGGGGCTCGATCCCAGGACCCCGGGGCCGTGACCTGAGCCGAAGGCAGACGCTTAACGACTGAGCCACCCAGGCGCCCCATTCTTACTGATTTTCTGCCTAAAGTCTCCCGCTAGGACGGTGGATTCATCTGTTTCTCCTTGCAGTTGTTAGTTTTTGCCTCCTGTAGTTTGACTCTATTTTGAGGCACATACGTGTTGAGGATTGTATCGTGGAGAAGCGGCCCCTCTACCGGCACAGGAATGCCCTTCTTTACTCCTGATGCCTGAAATTCAGACAGATACTCCTGCTTTCCTTGGATTAGTGTTGGCATGGTGTGTTTTTCTCCATTTGCGTTTCATCTGTATTTTTTAATCTTTATCGTTTTATACTTCATGCTTGTAATCTTTATACCCAGCGTGGTTCCGTGTAGACAGGTGGTCTAGGTTTTTGATCCCCTCCGACCATCTGTCTTCCACGGGAGCGTGTGGACCACCGATGTTCCAAGTGGAGATTCCTGCAGTTGGGTTCATATCTATTCTATTTGTCACCCGTGTTCTGTGTTCCTGTTATTGTCATCCTCTCCTTTTCTCGGTTTTGTGGTTTTAACTGAGCACTTCGTACGAGTCCCTTCTCTCCTTTTTTAGCAGGTCAGCTATC